CGTGCATCCAAGCTATTGCCTTCAATGCATAGCTCCTTTTCCAACCCCCCCCCACTTGACAGCCCACTGTACCTATCCCCCCTAAATCATCGGTGAACGGAACTGCGGCAGCTACAACCATTGTACGACGAGTACGCGATTCTTACAGCTGACAATGATGATGGTGTTGATGATCTACCCCCAGCTTTGCCTCTTCTGGGCATAGTCTTCCAACTCGGGTATTCATATCACTCGCCAGAATTATAGTATGCGTTCTTGCTGATCAAAGCGGTTATGACATCTCTCCTTTTTATCATCTTTAAACCGACTTATAGGCGGCGTTTGGCTTATCATTGATTCAAATTGCACCAAATAGCTGCACAGTGTGGAGACGACTTTTTCAGAGTCCCGTCCGATAAAGCGCCTTCAGCTCTGGATTTGAATGAACTTTCCACGCCATACACACCACGAGCTGGTGCATCGGAATCAGCAGATACCAGAAGAGCGAAATATGGACTATCTGATCTTGTCCTAAGTTTGTGATCGAAGTGGGGTCTTGAGTCGCCTGTTGCCCAGTTCGAGAGCGGTGACAGTGAAGGCCGCAAACAGGATAAGATCTGTTGAGTTTTGTTATTTTGACTATTCTGGTTAGTTTCATTAGTGGGTGTTACTCTCTACGTGGAAACAGTTGTCAGGTCTCTACACCGACTAGTAACTAGCCGCGTGCTTATCAGGAGCCGCTCAGGTGTCCCGGTTTACGACAATTTTTTTCTCACTGTGAAGAAGAAATCTGACCATTTTCTTCAATTAAAGTCGTCTCATTTCAGCCTACAGGCATCACCTTTCATAGGAACTTCGAATATCCGGTCAATCCTGGTCAGTAGACTGTCTGTGACGGAATGTAAGTCTCTCTTTTCACTTCACTTTTCTAATTAGTTTGTATCTTGCTCTATTTCCTCCAAGCTCGAGGGAGAGAATAAATCAGGAAGATGTTTCGAGTGAAGTAAAAAGCTGGCGGTAGTGGTTTTGCGCAGTGCTTTTGTAAGGCAGTCTTCGGCTTTGCATTTAGGTTCTTTAGTCTACTCCATACGCCCAGCGCTCCTTCCATGAAGTACCCACTCAACTCCATACAAGCTTTGTTGCTATGTGCCCAAGCAACTTAATGTACTCTCTATCCCCAATTTGTATTTTTTATTTAATACTCGTGAGCAATTACTGGGTGTGACGTAATGCATCTGCATCACTCTGGTTTGAATAGTGCTCCTGTTCTGACACTGGTTTGTCCTAATCAGGGGATAGCCTTGCACTCGTTTTCTATCATCGTAAGTGCTCATTAGTACCGTGTATCCTTGGCTGATGTTCGAGCGTTATTTTTGACAGTGTGTTGTAGTAGTGGTAACTCGAATGTGTTGATCGGTTATGGATCACGTGGCGGTTGAGCTGTTTTCCGAGCTTGGTAATTTGCTTACAAAGGTTTGGCCATCAATCGGAGGGAAATCAATGCACTTTTGAACATTTTCTTTGTTACTGTTTGAGCCTATGTAGTTCTTAAGGAGAATCTTCTTGCTTGGTTGGTTTAAAAGTCTGATTGGTTGTTTCGCGATTTTGGCTGACACATTAGATATCATCCCTTTTGTTCACCCATTTCAATCAAACACAAGACGGGCAGACCACAGCGCAACACGTGGCGATTGAACCAATCATACTACGCGTAAGATACTCCTTAAAAGCTATGTAAGCGCAAGCAAGAAGAGAGAAACTATCCACCCAACTGCGCACTGATGATGTCTCCTCGAATGGCGGCGAAACTTTTGTAGGAAATTTACAGAGTGTGGCGAACAGATCAACTGCTGCCTGATCCACAGCCAACCAGTCGTTACGTTGTTTATATAGCGGTAATATAGCTTATAAGGCCACCAGTTTTTTGTACATTCTACCACCGCCGGTCACCTGAGGGTGCTAAGGTTCTCAACATCCGTCGGTCAAGACACTTACGGGGTTCACGACCGATTTTGATTTGGTACGCATAAAACTTTTGTAACTTACTGCGGACTAAGTGCCCGCAAAAAAACCAATACGGTTTCCTTGATGATGCAGTCGACAACGGATCTTGAGTTTCTCTTAACCAACGTCCAGTGTCTCATTAAATGATGTAGGGGGATGTTTAGTTAAAACTCGGCCTGGAAAAAGGCTTACTTATTTTGGGCATGTTGGTTCCCGCAGATGACATGTCTCAAAGATTTATGCAAAGTGAATATCAACAGAAGAAAGCGTCAGTGAACTGAATCAACATTAAAACGGCTGGGTTCTATGGAGCTGTTTCCCGGATTGGTGCACTGTGTGTATTTGTGCATGCGTGTGTGGATCGATCGTTCAGCTGTAATACCCTCCCGGTGCCTAGCTGCTATGCTACCCGAAGGAAGCACGAGGGCTGGGATACTGCCCAAACCTAGACAGGGGAAGTCGAGAGGCATAGGTCGGGTTCGAATCACGGACCTTCCGGTCAGTAAATTCGCGCTCTAACCACTTGAGCCATCTCATCCATGCGTGTGTGGACTTATATTCGAGTAGTGTGTCCAACTAAAAGATGGGTTGTGGACCATCTTTGTCAGCTGTGGATGCAAAAACATTCATCAATACACTAATGGTGGAACGGTCAGCAGATACACCACAACCAATTCGGTTAATGCAATTCTCGACTACACACATTGTGTTTCCACTACGCTGGTGAAAATATTTATTCACACCGTCGTAAATTACCGTTTTAAGCCCTAACTAGCAGCAGTGAAGGCATTACGGATCAGATAACCCGTCCATCCTTGCCACTGACAAACAGTGCATGCGCAGTATAATTGCTAGATATACTGATTGAGTGCACTTTCTTATATTACGATTTTATTTCGATCAGTAACTTGTTGTTGTCAAACATTATTTTCAAGCAACCTGGATTTCCCCTCCGTATTCTAGGTCCCTCGTTTTTCGCTCGTGTACAAAGATTCCCGGCCTGAGGCAGCTGCGCTATGCCAGTTCAACCGTCAAACCCTCGCTGTTTGATGAGCTTAAAAGTTCAGGCCAAAATGTAATCGTGAGTGCGTCTCGCGGGGACGGAATTGCCATATTGGCTATGAATTTTCAAGCGAAAAAGAACGCATTGAGTAAAACATTTGTCGAAGACTTTTCCAAAGCTGTGAGCGAGCTGGAAAAGGACGACAAGTCAATCGTAGCCGTTGTGTGCAGTCTAGTAAGTCAAGTCTCTTAACGTTTTGTCTCACTGCTTCAGTGCCAATTCGCTCTACGCCTCATCCTACCTATTACTAAGTCTCTACACTCACCTGTTCGTTGAGGAAACTTGAGTGTTATGCTCTTAGATAAACATCTATGTGCTTTTTACCTGATAATCTGTTCGCCTGCTCTACCTTTACAGCCTGCTTTGGTCCTGAATTCAGAGTGATTACTCAGTGTAGGATTAGTAGTGCTCATATCAGTTGCGCACTTCACTCATAAGTTCCTAAGCACCGCTAGCCAAATCCCAGAACTATCATGTAGTCTGCAGACCTTACGATGGGGCACCTCTCCATTGTATCGGAGAACATCCGGTCACTCACTAGGTCATTAATCGCTCAGTACGAATGTACTGTATTCAGAATTAACACTGGTTTGTTGGATGCCACCCAAAGCCGAAAGTACTGTGGTTTGTTTGTTCGACCTAAATCTTTGTGAACGAAGGACATTGGCTCATTAATATAGTCTGAACGAGTGTCCTGAGGTGTTGTGTACGCAAATCCACTACCGGTGCACGTGAATTCTGCTTCTGTATTAATGATAGCCTACCAGTCAACTGCCCATGTATTATATGGAGCCGCGCGAGGTTCTCACCAGGCTGACTGACCCGTTACGAATCCCGAAAAGCAGTATCAGAAGCATCCGAGCGAAAAAGGGTAGTGGTCACTGTAGAGACGCTAAACATTGTTGTACTGATTACTGTAGCAGCTGAGTAGCTGTCGTTTGCAGTTGTACGGTTCCACACTTTTAAACTCGGTCTCATCGGTGCACTCCTCAATCGTGGTGTTATGGTTCTAATAAGTTCGTGAGTGAGTTCGTGCTGTGATTCAGACGTGACATCGTAGACCAACCCGCTGAGGATTCCTGGTCACCTGCTTCTTGACCAGAACGTAGTTGTTAGTTGTCTTTCTTAAATATATGTTCACCAGCAAGGGTTCCTGTCATTTTCGTTCCTGTAATCTTCCTTGCACATGATGACGCCTGGTCCTTTGCCGAGTTACAAAACATTAAGTTATTCACGGATCACAACTTTATCAGTGTTCAGGTCCAACAAGACGATTCTGTCGCATAGTGGTAGGCGGAAAGTCATCCGAAAGACCCAGTAACATTGCTCTTCCGTTATCAATGAGACGGTCGCCCATCAATTGGTCACGTGGCTTTTTGAATAGGACCTGTGCTTACAGTTTGTTTACTCCTTCTGGCGGTATTTTGAACTTTTAATCCAAGGAGAAAACCTCCGATAGTGCTTTCGTGAATAACACACCTTTGACTGATATGAGAAATCCTGACTGGCTGGCGCGTAGAATTTCCCTGTTTCCTGAGTTTTGAATAAATTAAAATGAAGCCTCTTTGAGTGCACCATCGGCAAGGTTAGTGTTCCGTTAGTTCAGGAGACTATTGTTATTCCTTATCGTTTGCATTCAACGGATTAGGTAGTGATCATGAAGATAGAGAAGCTATTTGGTGATAGTTGCATGAAACAACACATCCACAGCTGCTCGTCATACACCTGAAGTCTTCGATTTGTCCTTATTGTCAGTTCGCACCCCGTTTCACATTGTTTTGCTGATAAATGGTTCAGCCAGTGACAAAATCCTTTCCGGTTTGGTATCCGCTTCATGGTCCCATTCTGAACTTCGACATTGAAGTGCAAATCAACAAAAATTAGCAGAATGGAAGACGTTTCGCGGACCGTAAAGCTGCAGGAGAGATCAGTCTATTGGAGCAAATAGCGCCCTTCGAAGCAGTTGACCGTACACTCTTCTTAAAATTCTGTCTTGTGGGTTTTGAATCGTATTCGAGTCGCTGAGTTGGCCCAAATCATTGCGAAATTCACTTTAGAATTTTTTTGTTCTGGGGCAACGATTTCTCAGTGTCACCTCAAGCTGTGCTCACAAGACACCCTGTTCAGCGAGTCATTTTTCTCATGCTGCTCTTGCATAGGCAAGAGTGACCTTCAGGCTGCCGTCGGTTTGGGAAAATGATACAAACTCCCAGAAGACATGGCATAAATAATCTTCACCTTCATTGGGACATTTTTGAGCTCAATGACGGATAGGTTAAGGCATGACCACTTGTGAAGTCTCTAGTATGAACGGGGTCTTCAAGGATCGTATTTCAAATGCAATTACAGAAACATATCATCACTACTAATAGTCTGACTCACTGCGCTTTTCACATTAAATGCCTACTGTTAGTTCAGTCAACTGTAGGTATTATAGTGAGGCATACTCAACGTCTTGCTTTTCCACTCATTGCTTTCACCCAACTGCTTAGTATGTGCCGGTAAAGCGCTGTCAGATTTATTTTCACAAAGGAAACTACTCACAAGGTTGCTGAAAACTCTTTGACAGCGCACGACCGGTTTCACCCTTCTTGGGGCTCACCGGATTTAGTTCGCCTGGCCAATAGCCACATGTTCCATGCATTTAAAATAGTACGGACTCAGTAAGAAACATGGAAACATGTTAATGTTAGGATTATATTGAGTAGTCCACTGTGAGTCACAAGTGGCGTTCCCGGTGTTTGTCGGAACAGATGTGAAACCATTGTTTACGGAGTTTTCTTCTTGTATCGGTAGACAAGTAGGCGAGACAGGCAAGTTACATCCCGTTGGTTGATTGAATCAGTTAATATTGATCAATTAATATACAGGAAGTCGTGAAAAAATGTCTGGACGCTCCTCATAGGTACTGTGCATGGGTAGGGACTGCTGTAGGATCGAATAATTTGGGTGCTAAACTACCTACCTAAAGAATCGACCTGGACTCATCCCTAACGCGGGAAGAAGAGCACCAATGTGGTCCGCATCTGATTTAAAGTGTAGCTCATAATTCGCTTTCCGTACTGAAACTGCCCTCAACGATAAAGAAGGTGGAAAAATACATCTTTGGTTTGAAAAACAAAACTAATTTCTTGCTGAAACTGTTGGAATTGGTGAAGGTCACCAGAAATTCAGATTCAGCTTCATTTTATACTGTGATGCACTGTTGTTTGGTCAGTTTCTGGTATTGTGCTTTTGAAATCCATCTCCCGGAAAACTTCATATGTATCAAAATTCGTCCATGGAACTATATGACCTATATTGACAAAATCCACAGTGCGTGGATATTTCGTCACGAGTTCCCGATGGTCACCCTCAGTATTGAACACCGTATTGAACCGTATTGAACAACCACTGTATGTTGATCCTACTAGGAAGTGACACTGTATCCGCAGAATTTTTGTGTAGGGGCTTGTAGGTAGACACTCTGAAATTTTCCATGGAAATACCGCTGACGTGCTACTGATGGCATCCAGTTTTAGTGATTATTCCAGTGGTGACTTTTCATCCGAATGTCAAGTATGTTGCGGCTAACTCAAAGTACCGTATTCCCTGTAATAAGTGTGCTTGGTTGTGAGTAACATTGGCAAATGGTTTTCTTGGAGACTCACCTTTACTTCCGCTCATGTTAGCGTGTTCCAAATTTATCCTTCATCTCCAGCTATCAGCGAGAAATCATGCGGTCATTACAATGCTACTAAACCGTGTTGGAAAATACCACTTTGAATTTCCTACGTACAGCACTCAAAAGATTCATTACAACACTCGATTTCGCTCATTAAGTATGCACAGTGTTCAGACCAGGCGACTGCGACCGTTTGTTCTTGCTTGCGCATTAACTCAACATTCATTAAATCAATGGTCCTTCCACCATTGATTGGTCATCAGCATCTCACGTGTTTGCTTGGCCGGGCACCATTACCTCCTTGTGAGGTAGAGGACTTTTGGCACCCAGGAGAATGGGTACTTAACAGAAAACGATGGTTTCACGCCTGTTTGCTTTCACACTGAACAAGAGGAATGCCTCTTTTCTTACTTACTGGCGCACCAATCTGTATTTCCAAACGCTAACATATTTTCTTGTTTTCTCCACTGATATGGTTTTGTTTAAAGTGTATGGAACATGTGACTGCTGTCTAGGTGAGTTGAGTGCGTCTTTGTTTTTATGAGCGTAATTATTACTGGCATGTTTGTGTTCATTTTTTATAGGCACTGTGTGCACAGCACAGTGTTACCCGGATTGCGAAATTTTGCCCAAAACTGCCCTTAATTTCCCTTAGTTGTGTGCTGTGAATGAAGCGAACCAATGGGTAACGTTACCGCTATATCCCGTTACCAACCGGGAGGGGGAGAATCTGCGCGACTCGCTAAAATTGCACCCATTATCCACTGCTGATGCACCCTAAAAGTCTTTTCTCGAGTATTTGCAAGAATAGACCGTCTGCCACTATATAAGTATGCTAGCATTTTAAGGTGGTGCCCTAAAGTCGGTCTGTCTAGCTTACAACTTTTAGATGTCGAAAAGTCAAGTAGATTGATGAGTGCCACATGGAGGGCGGATGAATCAATGGACGAGAGTCCCGTACATCTGAAAATACCCATCGATAGTTTCAGATCCCTTACAAAGTGGCTGTTCTGAAAGGCTACCCAAGGGCTGATTGCCTGCGCTGCACAGCAGTGAAATACGGCACCTAAGGTCTGTTGGAACGAATCTACTCGAAGCTTCTATATGGCCCATCTTCGCCTTTTACGTCCGATCGTGGCACATGACATATCCGCGCTGTACTGCGCTGTAAAACCCTTTACCTAATAATGATGCCTTGTCTGCCTTGACAAGATAGCAACAGACCCTCAGCGAGTGGCCAATTGAAACCCGCGGCCAGATATGGTTGAGAACCTTCTTACGAAAGTACTGTTCCGCTTTTGGGATCCTTGTGCGTGATACAGAGGGCTCAAATGCTTGGTGAGACTTGAAGAAAAAAGGCTGGTTAACTTAAAAAAAAAGCAACCAAAAGTGGTAAGAACGGAGATGCCGTATAGTGCTTGTCTCTTGTAGTTGATCATCTGGGTTAATATGCTGTGAATTAAATGATACTAGATGGGACACTACTCGTATGTCTGTTAAATACTCTCCG